ATCCTCCCCTCCCTCCCACCCCCCATCAACCCTGTTTATTCTCAGTTTTTAAGAGTCTCTTATGCTTTGGCTCTCTCCCTCTCTAACCTCTTTTTTTTTTTTTCTTCCCCTCCCCCATGGACTTCTGTTAAGTTTCTCATGATCCACATAAGAGTGAAAACATGTGGTATCTGTCTTTCTCTGTATGACTTATTTCACTTAGCATAACACTCTCCAGTTTCATCCACGTTGCTACAAAAGGCCATATTTCATTCTTTCTCATTGCCACGTAGTATTCCATTGTGTATATAAACCAGCAATAGCACTGCTAGGAATTTACCCAAGGGATACAGGAGTGCTGATGCATAGGGGCACTTGTACCTCCAATGTTTATAGTAGCACTCTCAACAATAGCCAAATTATGGAAAGAGCCTAAATGTCCATCAACTGACGAATGGATAAAGAAATTGTGGTTTATATTCACTGTGTTTTAAAAGTTGATCTGGGGGCGCCTGGGTGGCGCAGTCGGTTAAGCGTCCGACTTCAGCCAGGTCACGATCTCGCGGTCCGTGAGTTCGAGCCCCGCGTCGGGCTCTGGGCTGATGGCTCAGAGCCTGGAGCCTGTTTCCCATTCTGTGTCTCCCTCTCTCTCTGCCCCTCCCCCGTTCATGCTCTCTCTCTGTCCCAAAAATAAATAAACGTTGAAAAAAAAAAATTAAAAAAAAAAAAAAAAGTTGATCTGGTTCTCATTTGTAGGTTTTCTAGGAATTATTAATAATATGATACACTTTATAATTCAGGAGCCTATTTCTAAAAATGCCAAGTTGAACCTGCATTTGGTTACTGTAATCAGAAACTAGACTGTTAGATGGTTCAGTTTTACATACAGAATTTTTGGTGGGTTTTATGTTGAAAGAATAGACCAAAGTATGTGTAGTCGGTATCAATAAACTCTGTTGCCTGCCTAACATTTTTATATCCTGGTTCCCATACCCCTTTCATTTTAATTACCCAGATTTTCCAGTGTAGAAAAGTAAACTCTGGATCTAATTTTTGAAGTGCCAGTCGTGTGGTCTTATATCCTCACTGATTTAGTCAAGGAGGTGTTGGAGAATTTAAATTCTTCTGCCCAAAAATAGTTTTGCCTCTGGCTCCTAAGTGTCATCACACTTTCCCAAATTATCCTGGCTGTTAGCATTTAGAAAAATAACCAGACATATGTTGTAACCATCCTTTTTATTTAAAAAAAAAAAAAAAAAAAAAGATGTTTTCTTCCTTCTAGTGGCACCAGTTCTGGAAATGGTTGAGGTTCATGAAGAGCTGATAAGTGAAAGATTCTGTGTGTAGTTCTTGTGTGAATTAGTTACATCTGGCACTGGGGCCATAGCACATGGCTTTTAGGGGATGGTGGCCCAAAAGGTGAGGGGATGAGATTTGGGCCAGAGCTGCTGTGTATAATTAAAGGCCATGAGTTGCAAGTAGGGTCTTTGGTGTGAGTTGCATTGGCCTGGAGTAAGGGGTACCCTTTTCTGCTTTCAAAAAGGTACAATGAAGACAAGTTGATGGCCCTGGTAGTGCTTGCTTAGAATATGTAACCTCCTGGGTCCTAGGAATAATTTGTAATAGATACCTGGATAGAAACTCTAAATTCCTATAGTCTCTATTAAATGGTCCTCTTTTGCCAATGACAGTATGGGCCACAAGTTCGTTCAGAGCTACCTACAATCATCCAGTAGTACTGGAAAAAGTGACATTTTGCCTAGTATGTGACAGACACCTCCAGTTAGAGGTGGCCATCTTACTGGTCAGCCCAGTGTGAATTTGGCTGGTCTCTGTTGAATGTGTCTTAAATAAGCAAGTTTTCCTTTTGGCAATAGTTGCAGACATATGGAATGCAGAGTCTGACAAAAGCTGTGTCAAATAGGGTCCTTAAGCTATTTAGCCACTAACGGCTACTGTCACTGTTGTGACTGAGGAAGTATCTTCCAACTGGAAAATAAAAGTCATGTTGCTGCCAAGGGACAAATATATTCATCATGTCTTCTACCAGAAGAAAGGGCAGTGCTTATTGCTTTGCTGAACAAGGAATTCTTGCATTTAAGTTATATTAATTATTAAACTGGTAAAAAAAAAAAAAAGACTACTATGGAAGATGTTTAACTGTGCTTTGAATACTGTTATAATTGTGTTATAATTTGTGACTGACATGTAAATATATTCTGTTGTGCCTGGTGGAAAATCTAATGACTTTCAAAAGCATTAAGTTTAAAGGTCTATTTTGTCTTAGTAAATGTGAATGCTGATAGAAACAAGCTGCTGGGAGGTGGAATTTGGCCAATATCCATTTGGTTTCTGGAGATGTTTTGTGTGATTTTCTGAATTGGAGTTTATGCGAGCTACAAACTCCCATCTTTATATTACAGTAATTAGCTGTAAAAGTAGTTCTTTAGTTACTAGTTTAAGTACTTGGTTCCTTTGGGCCAAGTATTGTGACTGTTGGGCCAATAAAGTATAGTCCCAGATCCTGAGGCCTGAAGTGAAGGGTTTATTAGCACTGGTTTAGCACAGGAGGATTTGAGTTGTCTGAAATAACCATCCTTTAGGCAAGGAATCCATTCATTACTTTTAAATTTTATATAAGGTTTTTATATAAAAGGTTTTATATATAAGGTTTTTATATAAAAAAATTTATATAAGGTTTTTGTCTTTCACAAGAAATATAAGAAATGCCTATGGTTAATGTACAGGAGGCAAGTGGTTGAAGGGATCAGGGGAGAAATGGGTATTTTTTTTTTTTTTGATGTATTTGATGTATTTGATTTCCTTCAGTGAATCCCTGAAGGAAAAATAGTTAGAAATAAAGGTAAAGGAAGATGAAACCTAGTATAGAGTCTGTTTTGCCTAAGCTTTGCTTTAAGGTTTTAATTAAACCTAAAGATTGTTTCTAAGAATGAACAATCTTTGTTTTTGAGTCCTTAGGGCTGTGGAACAGATTCCACTATTGTTTTACTTATCCCCAGAGGGTGGACCTCAAGATAGTGTGAAACTAGACAAATAGGATCCCAGACACCACCACCCTTTCCAAGTCCACTGGAATGACAGGGTAGGTTGGTGTGGACTTGTCTTAAAAACATGGTATATAAATAATTTTCTAGGGAAAAGTTGACAGGAAAGAAAATGTAAGGAGAAAATTTTTTGTTTTGTGAAAGATCTAAATCCTGATGAATTTATTGGTAAGTTGGTTAGAGGGATAGAAGAGTCCATGGTTAAAATATTTTGTTGATTCTGTGTGCCAAACACATTGCAAAAAGCTTTAAGTGTGTTATCTAGCGATGTGCATTGTGAAAGTCTCAGAAACCACTTAGCAGACAAGGAAAATGCAGCTAGCCCAAGGAAACACAGTAATACTGGATCCAGTATTCTCTGATTATTAAAAATGTGCCATTCTCCTCCACATGCCTTACCTAGAATGCTCTTGTTGGGAAATAATTACTGAAAGTGAACAAAGGGACTTTCCAGAATAAAATCAATTAAGATCTCTTGGGGACTTCTAAAATGAATGGATTGTGTTCATATAGCAGTATTGGAATAAGTTTAAAGGCAATACAGTTTCCAGATACCCTTTAATATAATTACCGAGTTTGAAGATCAGACCAAAAGATGTAAGAGAAATCTCACACCGACTGTTTTAAGACCAAATATCTACCCCAGCCACTTTGTTGTGGTGTTTTTGTTTTTGTTTTTGTGGGTTTTTTTTTTTTTTCCTGTCTAGCTAAGTAGGATAGGAGGAAGTGCGTACTTTCAATTTGTAATTCTACATGGAAAATGCTATGGAGAACAAAGGCAAATGAAAAAAATTAAATTTCCTTAAAACTTACAGCCATTGACAAGTCCTTGAGACAGTCAGAGTGACCTTCCTATAGGAATTCAACTGCCTCAATGTTAATACTTTGCTAAGGACAAAAGGCAGCCTTAGTTTGACATTAGCCTGACCTCCAGGATCCTGTAAGTCTCTCTCTCTCTCTCTCTCTTTTTTTTTTTTTTATGTTTATTTTATTTATTTTTGAGAGAGAGAGACAGAGTGCAAGTGGGGGGGGGGGGGAGAGAGAGAGAGAGAGAAAGAAAATCTGAAGTAGGCTCCAGGCTCTGAGCTTCAGCACACAGCCCGATTCAGGGCTCGAACTCACAGACTGTGAGATCATGACCTGAGCCGAAGTCGGAAGCTTAACTGACTGAGCCACCCAGGTGCCTGTAAGTCTCTTTTAAGGGATAAAAATTCCTTTGGACAGGCGCCTGAGTGACTCAGTCTGGCTCAGGTCATGATCTCAGGGTTTGTGAGTTCGGGCCCTTCATCCTGCTCCGCACTTTGGGCTTTGCTGTGACCATGCAGAGCCTGCTTAGGATTCTCTGTCTCTCTGTCTCTCTGTCTCTCTGTCTCTCTGTCTCTCTCTCTCTCTCTCTCTCTCTCTCTCTGTCTTGTCTCTGTCTCTGTCTCTCCCCCCCACCCCCAAATAAATAAACGTTAAAAAAAAATTCCTTTGGAAGCTTCCTTTATCTCTACCCACCCCCCAAGATATATGTTAGCAGTCATCCTCCAAGCATATGGCTCACTGATATACATCTTCATGAAGGGTCTCATGACTAAGGTATTACTAGACAATAGTAGTAAATGACCTTTTCCTCACAACAGCTACCCTTTCAAGGTACTGGAAATCTTACTTCCAAATTCCTTAGAGAACTGCTATCCCTACTTGAAAGTAAATCAACCACTCCTCATAGCCCCAGTGCAGCTCTCTCTGCCTACAGGTCCTGTCCCTGTGCTTTAATAAAATCACCCTTTTTGCACCAGAGACACCACAAGAATTCTTTCTTGATTGTTCGCTCCAAGCCATAACACTTTCACATCAGAAAATACAGTTTGTGATCTATATTGTTGTAGAAAAGAGAATCACTGGGATGAAAAGCTTTACATCAAATTATATGTGTGTGTATGTTGTTTTTCCTCCTTTGAACTATAATAGGATTTCCGAGATGCAGTGGCCCATGCTTCCAGGCAACTTGGGAAACCCGTGATTGAGGACCGGATCCTAAATCAGATCCTGTACTACTTGCCTCAACTGTATGAGCTCAACCGGGATCTCCTGAAGGAACTGGAGGAAAGGATGTCAAACTGGTATAAATGGACTGACCAGCTTTCCCTAAGTTCCAATTTTAGATGAGGCCACAAGGGCCCTGCTTGTGACAGAGAGGTGGTATTCCTTACATTGAGTTGTTTCAATATATTAAATTTTCTTGGTGGTTACCTGTAGATTGGTCATTTTAGGTGGCCAAAATTCACAACCTTGATGCACTGAGCTCAATTCTAAAACTGTTCAAATTCTTTGGTAATGTTGCCTCAAAAGCAAGAAGGACCCATATTTCGCCAATTTAATTTTCTGTAGGAGACCTCTGATAATCAAGGTTTTTGAGATTGAGGGAGTTTAGTTGATATATTCACACTGAAATGTTTTTAAATGCTTTATTATCTTTTCTGGAGTTTCATGAATCTGTCTTTGCATTTTGGAAAAGAGACCATTCACTGGAATAATAGGTTTATTTGGTTTAGAAAATTTACATGTATATGATATTATTGTAGACTGTAGAAAAGAATACCAAAAGGTTAAGTACTTCCTTGGGTTGTAGAGAGTAAGCAGAAACTTTGGTGACATCTTTGAAGCTATGCACAAAATTCAAAATTTCCCTGTAAGCTTTATTTTACATATAACCAAGAAAAATACCTCTTGCCTGTTTTAGAAATATGCCTGTGCATGTTAGCAAAATATGTTAGGTAAGTGATTAATTCCTAGCTGCAGCCCGAATGTAAAATAACAAAGGGTTAAGAACTGAGGAATCACTGAAAGGTATTTTTTAAGGTCATGATAGAAATAAAATGTGATTCCACAGAGTTTTCCTATACATACTTTGTCATTCTTCTTATAAAAATTATCTTTAAAATTACCCTGAATTGCCTTTAACAGATATGTATATTTGTGCAAGCGTTATAAAGAGGCTTAAGTATAGTTTTCGCTTGTGCTAAAAGTTTTCCCAAGTTTAGATCTATAGATGTTCTGCATTAAAGTATTAATTTAAGAAACAGACTGAATTGATGAAAGGGACAGCTAAAACAGTAATTATGGCAAAAGCTACACTTATTACTGACATAAAACTCTTCTAATCCTTGGATAAGGTATTTTCTACTTATTAAAATATTTTTCTCTCTGGGGTCTTCAAGTTAAGACATAGTCTTTGGTTTTAGTATGCTTTCTGAAATAACATTTATTTTTGCATTGGCTTTTAATAACAGCTGTTGCAATACTTCATTTCTGCATTCAACAAAGTTTTGAGTATCTTACTGTGTGCTAGTCAGGGCTCTAAGCATGGTGGGAATATCACATTGCACAAAACAAATGAGGCTCTTGTTCTCATGAAGTAGATGTTTCAGTGGGGGAAGAGCCAGAAAAATAGACAAGAAACATTAGATGAAAGCAACTTCTGATCTAGAAAGATATAAAATAAGATGACGTGCTAGCAAGTGAAGACTGGATGGCCAAGAAGACCCTCTGAAAAAGCAAAGCACTTTAAAAGTGACATCTGGGGGCGCCTGGGTGGCGCAGTCGGTTGAGCGTCCGACTTCAGCCAGGTCACGATCTCGCGGTCCGTGAGTTCGAGCCCCGCGTCAGGCTCTGGGCTGATGGCTCAGAGCCTGGAGCCTGTTTCCCATTCTGTGTCTCTCTCTCTCTCTGCCCCTCCCCCGTTCATGCTCTGTCTCTCTCTGTCCCCAAAATAAATAAAAACGTTGAAAAAAAAATTAAAAAAAAAAAAAGTGACATCTGTACAAAAAGAAGGAGCCAGCCAGGGTTCCTCCATATTTCCAGGCATGCAAAGCCATTAGTAAGAGTTTGCAAAGTGGGATTGACTCTGTATGTCAAAGGAATATAAAGAAGACCAGTGTGATTGGAGAGTACTGTGAAAGAAGGAGAGAAGCCTGAAATGAGTCAGAAAAGTAGGCAGCAGCTGGACAAATGAGGCTACAAATTTGTAAGCCAAGGTGAGGAGTTTGTTTTTCTGCTAAGTCCCCTAGGAGGCCATTGGAAGTCACATGAGTAATATTTGTTTTTAGACTCTCAGGCTGCACAGAAGGATGAGATGGTAGAAGCAGGAGGACCGGTCAGAGGGCTGGCAAAGTCCAGGCAAGATGTGATGGCGGCAGTGGGAATGGTGAAGAGTGGGCATTTGGAGATAGGAGATATCTTACAAGAAGAGAAAAGAGGCGAAGCTGATGGCTTAGACTTGGGACTCTGCTCTTTATTAGATATGTTTTGGATACAGTAATGACTCTTTTTATATTTTGTGTATTTCTTTTCTTAGGACTGAACAACACAGAATTGCTGATATCTTTGTAAAGAAGGGACCATATCTAAAAATGTACTCCACATACATCAAAGAATTTGATAAGAATATAGCTTTGCTGGATGAGCAGTGCAAGAAGAACCCAGCATTTGCTGCTGTTGTTAGAGAATTTGAGGTATTTTTGCTGCCATATAATGTTGAACCCTTTTTTCTTCTTTTGTTGTTTTTAAAGCTGTAATAATTTGCCATCGTTGAAAACAAAAAGATACTGATATTTAATTCCTTCAGAATCAAAGAGGAAATTGAACAAATTAAAAGGTGAAAAAGTATGTACCAGATTTAATTTTGAAAATCTTTTATTGCATGTTAGAATACTTTAATGGGTCTTTTTTTTTAATTGTGAGGAAATACACACAAAATAAAACAACCATCTTAACCATTTTTAAGTGTATAGTTCAGTAGTGTTAAGTTCATTCATATTGTTTTGCAACCAATCTCTAGAACTCTTCATCTTACATTGCAAAACTGAAACTATACCTAAAACAACTCCCTATCCTCCCCTCCCTCACCCCCGGTGACCACCATTCTACCTACTGTCTCCATGGATTTGACTATTCTAGAAACATTTCTTATTTCTAACTCAGCCTTTCCTTTTCTTCTTCTAACAACTAATCTACAATGATGGGTAGGAAATATAATTTGTTTCCCTTTAGATAAATAAATGACACAGGTTCAATGTCAAAGTTAGGAAAAATTAATAACGTTTTATAGCCAAAGCTTTTGTGTTTAAGTCCTTCCCCCAGTCTTGGATAAAATGTGAATTATTATATGTTTGGATACTTACTTCTCTCTTTTGAAACTAAAAAAAAATTCCAGTCATGCAAACTAGAAAGGTTTTAGAGGTATTATGATATTGCTGATTTCTTATTGTTACGTTAGACACGTAATTAAACTTTAAAATCACTTGTTGTCTTTTTTCTGTTTTTTTTTTTTCCTTTTCCTCTCCTGATGTCTTCATGTTGTTAAGAAAGGAAGTGTGATTTATGTAGCTATGGCAACTGATAATTGACCCAGGGTTTCATCAGTGTCCAGAGAATTAATTGTTCTGTTGTCTTGGCAGCAAAAGAAAACATAAGACAGGAAAATTAACTGTCTTGGTTAATGATGCTTGCATGGTAGATGCTTTCTTAAATGCAATATCATTATAATTTTTTAAGTATTCTGTGTACCAGACCCTAGAGGTGCATATCTAGAAAAAGATGAAACAATCTGAGCAAATCTTAAAAAACTCTTCCCCACCCACCTGAGCTGGGGAAGAAGTGCAGAGCATCTTAGGATGCAGGAACATTTTCACTCAGCCATTTTGATGCCACCTCACAGTAAATTCCTGTGTCAGAGAATGTGTGGGAGGCCCAGGGTTGGGCTGAAGTGTCTGTTGTACTTACTTAGGAAAAGAGCTTTCAAGGCAGAATCAGTTGTCATTTTGATCAAATCAAAATGGCTCCAGAATCAAAGTTTCTATATACACTGATTTGGGAGCTGTCTTTTATAGCCATTCATCTGAGAAAGAAATTTTACATCCATTGGGCTTATTAGAGAAGATACACATAGCTAGGCTACTTTTCAGGTCATCTTTAACTTCTGCAATTCTCCCCACTACCACTTGTTGTTATCGTAAGTACATTGACCATAGACTCTGATTATTATTTGAATCCAGTTCCCAGTAGATTGATTTCTGTCACCTTATCTTCAGTGCCATGCATTTCTCTCTTGCTCGTTGGGTTTGTGCTTGTGAAAACACTGGCAGAGGCTCTGCTAAGTGGCAGCTGCAGAGTGTGGTGCTCTCTAATTGATCTAGAGCACAGGCTGCAGCCACCACTGTCTGTGAGAGGGCCGTGAACAAATGATCGCAGTGAGCCTGTGACTTCAGAGACCTACCTGCAGAAAAGGGTGGGCTAGGTGCTGAGTGGGCTATGGTTTCACTCTTAGCATAACAGCTGAGCCTTAAGTTACAGCAGGATTTTCCATGAATCCCTTCCACAGTTGATGACCACCTCAAGTTTGGCTTCCTGGGCACTTGAATCTGGGTCCCATGCTTTTTAGAAGAATGCCTGTGTTGACTTTGGATACCTTTTCCTTTCAGATGAGCCCACGCTGTGCTAATCTGGCCCTCAAGCACTACCTACTCAAGCCAGTTCAGAGGATCCCCCAGTACAGGCTGCTGCTGACAGGTAGGCTTCTCTGACAGTTTGCCAACCAACCAGTTCTTTGATCATCCCTGCATGCATTCTCTGCGTGGGCATTATTCTTACATGTACGTCATACCATCCCAACCCCACATCCCTGTGACATTTTACCTGATTAATATTATTAATCCCAAGAATGACCTTTCCCAGCTGCTCAAGAATGAGGTTTAGGGAGTCACTCACACATATTTGTTGCCCTGGTCACTTACCTCAGAGGGTTGTAAGGATTGATTAATGAACTATGTGCTTAGAATGGTGCTTTGGTCATACTAAGTTCTAAACCAGTATCGGCTGCTATTAATAATAGTAGTATCCTTATCGTCATCATCATCATGTTGTTGTTCTCATGATCATTATCTATATCTTCTAGTAGACTGTAAGCTTCAAGATTACAGGGCTGTGTCTATCTGGCTTACTCCTATAACTGTTAAAAAAAAAAAAAAAGGGAAGAAGAAGCCAAGAGGCTATGATTTGAGTGAAGGTATACACTGTGCTCAGGGCTTTATATTCCTTGGCCCTTCCAAGTCTTCACCGTAGCCATCCATATATCACGGTATTATTTACATAGATGTAATAATAGAGATAAGTGGTTTGGTGTCACAGAAAAGCTAGTACAGTCTCACACCAAGTCTAGTGTCTGACACATTCTACTAGGTCCACTGGAGTATTTGGTGAAATAATTGGATGTGCAGCAACTTAGTATACATATATGTGCATTAAGAATTGTGTCAAATGGATAAGAATATCAAAATTCCACAACTCTAAGTTCAGTCTGTAGTGATTTCATGTAAATAGATTTTGAGGTACTTGGTTCCTGTTGGTATTCTTAAGAAAGAGTGGGCATGCTCCTTTCCTTCACTAAATCCTTTCTTGTGAGCCAAAAACTATATCGGATATAGTACGTGTGAGTCCTGGAAAGCCAGAATTTCCTGATATTCCTTTAGGCAAAGCCTTCCAAGGTTGCCTTTTAAAAGACAAAGTGCTATTGAGGAACGCCTGCCCTCAGCATCTGGAACTGGCCACTCTAGGTGTTTCAAGTGTGCAGTTTGAATTTCGAACTGTGAATCAAACACTAGATTTTTCTTTGGAATGACATAAGGCAAACCAAATAATTTGAGGATATCCTGTCCATTTGTACTTTTCTTTCCTCTGCTTTTGGCAGAGATTTAGAAAACACAGGACAAAAAGGAAGTACCAATGCATGTGTTGTGTTTTTGCTAGATAAATTCAATGCTGTGTCGTAAATGAAGCTGTTAAACGGCTTAGGCTGTTTCTACAGCTGTGGAGTGTGTTTTTAGTGGCAAAAGACTACTGTGGTTTCAAATGAGAGAAGGATAGAGCAAGATTCTGAAATTTTAATGTAAAAATGTTTCTCCCCCCACACTATGATTGATCTAAGTAAAGTTATACATTTGATTTATGATTCATGGAAGTTTGGTTTTAACTGAGAAGTGATGAAACAGCCAAAGTAAGCTTTAAAAATTATTTTTTAAGAGAACAGATTTCATGTATTTTATGATAGCAAATAGAATAATTATAACAATATACTGTAATAAAAGTTAAATGAATATGGTCTCTTTCATATCTTTTTTTTTTTTTTTTTTTAATTGAAAGGTGGGGGTGGCGGTGCAAATGAGTGAAAGGCAGAGAAAGAGAATCCTGTGAGGGGCAGAGAGGGAGAGAAGCCAGGCTCGTGTTCATCCGAAGTGAGGCTCGTGCTCACCTGATTCAGGGATCGAGCTCACCCGATGCATGACTCAAACTCACAAACCGTGAGATGATGACCTGAGCCAAAGACAAACACTTAACTGATTGGGTGCCTCATCTTCCTCTCCTATCTTATTATACTATGGTGACCCTTCTTATGATGATGTGAAATGAAAAAATGCCTACATGATGAGATAAAGTGAGATGAATGACATTAGGCACTGTGTATCCCTAGGCTGCTGTTGACCTTATGTGACATGTTAGAAGGATCTTCTGCCTCCTTACACTCACAGCTGTTGACTTGGTTAACTGAAACTTTAGAGAGTGAAAGTATGGATAAGGGGTACTACTGTATTTGGTGCCTTGTGAATTTGCTAGTATTTTTGTAATTTGAAAATTGGTTCCGTAATTTGATTATGAACTCCTCAAGGTCAAGGAGTGGGTCTTTTACCAATAATTTAGTGCACTTCAATTTCTCTGGGTCAGTTTTGATTACATTGGAAGCCATTCAGGAAATAATATTGGCTGCTTTTAAGATAGGTTTAAAATATCCCGTTAAGCTAAAACATCTTTAGCCTAAAGGATGACATTGAGATAGAGAATTTCAGAGATGATGTCTTCTCCTAAAGGAAGACATATTTAGGGGCTCCTGGGTGGCTCAGTCAGTTAAGTGTCTGACTCTTGATTTCAGCTCCAGTCATGATCTTGCAGTTTTTGAGTTTGAGCCCTGCATCTGGCTCCACGCTGACAGTGCAGAGCCTGCTTGGGATTCTCTCTCTTCCTCTTTCTCTGCCCCTCCTCCGCTCTCTCTCAAAATAAACTTTAAATAGGCTTAGGCCTTTTAAAAATAATAAGAAGAAATAAAAATAAATGGAAGACATATTCCGAGAGGTGAATTGTCCTTCCCCAAACTACACAGATAGTACTGAAGTATACATATGGTCCTAGAATCCTATAAGGACATATGGAGGCTGTGATGCTAAGGGTTTGTTTATATTTTTATTTAAAATTCTGATTTTCCAGGACGCCTGGGTGGCTCAGTTGGTTAAGTGTCCGACTTCGGCTCAGGTCATGATCTCACTGTTTGTGAATTCGGGCCCTGCATCGGGTGCTGTGCTAACTGCTCAGAGCCTGAAGCCTGCTTTGGATTCTGTGTCTCCCTCTCTCTCTGCCTCTCCCCAGCTTACACTCAGTCTTTCTCTCAGGAATAAGTAAACATTAAAAAAAATTTTTTTTTTTACTCTGATTTTCCGGTACTCATTTTTGTTATATTCTGATTACTCCCTATTTTGCAAGATATTTCTACAGTTGCTATCAAAGTGCTCCCTGTCTATACACTTAAATTTTTAGAAGTTGGATTTTAAATCTTTAGGTTTGCATCTATTCAAACGGGATCCTCATTTTTGGATAAACAAGCTCAGTGTTTTAATCCTTTGAACAACCTTGTGGGGTTATATAACTTTCATTTTCATTTTAGAATTTGGAGTAATTCCAAGAGCACAAAATATATAGGAACAGAGAGGAACAGCAAGACTATTTGGGGCAACTTTTAACAACTTTGATTTAGTAATGAGTTTCAGGCAGACTAGGGGAAGGATCCCTGCCTGACTCAGTATAGATATGTGACCCCCTTGGTTTCAGGAGGGAAAGACTGAGAAATGTAGAGATGAAGTACAGATAAGATAGGATAGTTTCTTTTGGAATCCTTTTAGAGAAAGGTGGATGGAAATCCCCAGATACTGCAACCTGCCCCTACTAGTCAGACAACCATCCTGTTGTCTTGCAGAATTTTCTTCCTGGACATAATTTGGCTTTTAGTTGGATATTTGACTTAGCTTTGTCTTCCTTCAGCATAGTGAAAAGCACTTTCAACTAAATTCCTGGTAGTACTTTTTTTTTTTTTTAACTCAACTCAAAATAAGATTAAAGAAAATGCATATGTTGTATAATAAATGCTTAATATTAGAATTATTTTATTTAAAAGGTAAAATAAAGTAACTGGTTTACTTAATTTAATTATATTGGCCACTCAAAGCAAGTGGATCTAGTCAGATCTTGAAATCTATGTGGGGCCCAGAACCTGTTTGCAGTTAAGAGCCTGAGAGTCTTTTTTTTTTTTTAATTTTTTTTATGTTTATTTATTTTTAAGAGACAGAGTGTGAGCGGAGGAGGGGCAGAGAGAGAGGGAAACACAGAATCTGAAGTAGGCTCCAGGCTCTGAGCTGTCAGCAGAGAGCATGATGCAGGGCTTGAACCCACAAACTGTGAGATCATGACCAGAACTGAAGTCAGATGCTTAACCGACTGAGCCACCCAGGTGCCCCAGGAGCATGAGAGTCTTGAGGCAGCAGTGAAGAAGTAATGGAAAGAAACAGGTGCTACTGTAGGAGCAACATTAATTGTTTACCTCTGTTTATTTCCTTCCTCATCTCTTCAGTGTTGAGACCGTCTTTATTATCCTGATTCTGTGTCTGTCATAGACTCTGGCACATAACAGGAACTCAGTGAGCTGAAAGGCTTAGGGAGTTAAACATTGTTCCTTTTTATAAGGTTGAGAATCCCCATGCTGTGGTGTCAATTAATGTTTCATGGATGAGTGGGTCAATAAATTATTAAGAGTTGAAACGTTCTTCCAGTTACCCAAGCACAAAATTGTGGAAAGGACTTGAAATACTTCCCTTTCCTCTTCTTTTCTCTCTCATAGGATATGCTGACCAGTTTTCCTTTGCCTCTGATTCCTGCTGTTTCCATTTCCCTTGTTCTAGGCCAGGCCTTCCTAAACTCCTGTCAAATTGTGGCAGTATCTTCCTTCTGGTCATGCTACCTCTTATCACCACCACCACCCCTGGCACATTGTCACTTAATCTCTTTTCCAAGGATACCAAAAGGAAAAACCCACTCCTGTGTCTCTCCTGTTCACACACCACCACCACCACACTCACAGTACTGACACCAGATGTGTAGTTTAGTCCCATACTAGGCAATTATCTTTAACATCAGCTAGGTGTCCTACATTTGATTCAATTCAGGCACTATCTACCTGGAAATAGTGCCAGATTCTACAGATCAAGGGCTCCATCCCACAAGACTACCCCCCTGCAAACTTCACATGCCATTCAACATGTCCCAGGTTGTCACCTGTATTTCTTTTCTTTTCTTTTTTTTTAACATTTATTCATTTTGAGAGACAAACAGAGCGTGAGCAGGAGAGGGGCAGAGAGAGAGGGAGACACAGAATCTGAAGCAGGCTCCAGGCTCTGAGCTGTCAGCACAGAGCC